ATCCACGTTGAAATACGGAGGGAGGGAGGCATCCTGCAGGCTGTGTTAGTGCCCGTGGCAGTCAGTGCATCTGCACAGACCTTGCGCGGTTATTGGTATTCTCATCAGGGCTTATCTCTGTTTTTATCTAAAAATTGTTACATATTTACACCAGTTTCAGCTGAATTGCTGCTGTGACAAAGTGCTTTTTTGTAGACAACTATTTTACATTTTCCATTTTACTGTCTGGCTTTTTAACTACTTACTGCGTTTCTGTTTTCCATTTGTTTACACCTTGCTCTTGCCAAGCTTTTCTTTAATAGGAGATTTCAAAGCAATTTTTCCTTTTTATATATAGATTTGCAGCTTCTTGAACACAACACAGTCAAAATCAGTCAAACCCCTTTAAACTTCCCTGCAATTAGCTGGTGAAAGAAAAGGAGGGACGGATGGCTCCGATGTCTTTCATTTATTTATTTATTTATTTTCCTCAACGCTCAGAGGAAAAATGTTCCTTTTTGTTTTATTAATGATGCACTTATGAAATCGAGCGTTTGATGGTATGCACTTGGAGCAGGCAGAAGGCGAGCTTCCCCATGTCGCACTGGCAGCGTCCTTTCTGATCTGCAGCACGCTAGTTTATTCCAGATGTAGGCTCGCTCTGAAGAGACTGCCTGATATACAATGGCTTCACGGTGGAGAAAGACAGCCTGCGGGGACTCACTTGAAGCTGCCAGCTGTATTCTCTATTCTCACTTGCGGTCTCTTACATAAGATGACCCTTTTTTTTTTTTTTTAATTTTTTTTTTGCTTGCAATTAATCCAAGTAGAATATTTATACTGTCTTTAAAAACATTTTAATTATTTGTAGCTTAGGCACTTTGAAGTTGATCAGCTGCAAGTGGAAAAATCTGGTCCAAAGGGCTGCCTGCTTGAAAGAGCCAAGTTAGGAGGAAAGTTGAATCACCTAAGAATGATGTAACTGCGGAGAACAAAAGTTAGCCATTAGCCCAGCTGCAGCCTGACTTGACCGCTTGTGTTTCTTCTTGCTATAGGAGTGTTCACAGAAGTGGAGAAAGTAAAAAAATCTAGGTCTGGAGTGGACTTCAAGAGATGACCTGGTCTCATCTCCTCCTCTGAGACTGTCTTCGACAGATGTTGGTCCATCACGTCCGTGAAACCCTTCCATAGATGGGAATCCACAGTCCCTTTGTGTAGTCAGGTCTGCTGCTGCTCCTCTGGGTTTACAAGCAAAGTCCATGGGTGGACGTAAGCAGAGTTAACATTTGCTCCCAGGAGATGGGGAACAAATCTCTAAAGGGAGATTTTGGCTTCTTATTCCTTTGACACTCTCAAAGCAAGCATGGATGTCTTTCCGAGTGTCCCTGTTGCCCAAATCTCAGGTGAATTGCATCAGATTTTGTGGATTGTCATCTACAGGTCAGCCCACCTTATGTAGTGAGTCCTTTGCACTTCGGTTCTCAAGTGCCGAGCTGCCTTTGCTTAAGAGTAGTTAAGGGATATAAATTGGTCTCCTTATTCTTAAGAGTGGCCAGAGCAGCGTATTGCCTGGTCCCTGTCTGCAGCAGGAGCTGGTAGTGCCTCTCTCTCTGTCCTTGCTGAGGATGCCTGGAGTTGTATATACCTGGCTGGACCAGCATCAGCACACCTCTGTGCTTTAGACGTGAAATGCTTTTGCATGGGGAGCTGTGGGTGCACGTGTGCAGATTTATTGTGTCACTTGAGAACGAAACTGGGGGAGATTATTCTGAGTCATTTATAAATGAAGCTATGAGAATTATTCTGAGAGGATGGAAAAGTTCAGATGTTAATAGGAATATGAAATTCACAGTGGCCAAGCAGCAACCAGAATTGTGCAGCCGATCAGAGAAGACCAGTCAGCAGTTAAACTTGTCCTCCTTTGGGCAGGGATTACGCAGCCTCCAAGGACAGTGACGTCAGACCTGCAAACTGCCAAATCTAACTACACTTGGAGTTTCCCTTGGGTCTTGTAAGTCTCTGGAGCAGGTGAATAGACCAGAATCATAGCTTTCATTTAAAGACTGAGCGAGCTTGTAGGCTTTTTGTTTATGAAGGAAAGAATGAAAATATGATCCTTTAAAAAATGTCAAAATTCTAGACATGCATCACTCTGCTTTTTTTTTTATCTTTTCTTTTCTTTTTTTTAAAGCCTTTAGGATTTGTGTTGTTGAACCTGGGAATCTCCAATAACTCAAGAAAACTGGTTTTGAGTAAAATTTAAATGCATTTACAAGTTCTTGGGATTGGCACAGAGCTTTACTATTAAGGCTTTCCTGTGATGGAATCACATAAGATGCACATTCAAAGCAGCAGCATTTCCTAGTTGGCTGTGAAGTGTCCCATGCTGCTCTGTTCAAAAGAGATAGCAGTTTTGTGGAGAGGGGAAGGGGGTTCTGCTGAACACCCCAGTTCTCCTAGAGGCTTCAAGCAAAGCCCGGCAATCTGCATTTTAATACTTAGCTTTCAAAATCTTGGAGTGACGTACCTCGGAGGTATGTGTGTATTGGTGGGGAGTGTTTGCTTTGTAGCACATGGTTAAATGAAGAGCTATGAATGTTTTATGAAGAAGAGGGAAAGAACAGTGAGGGGATCTGATTTCCAGTTGACACCGAATTGTTTATTCCCAGTGAAATACACGCAGCTGACTGGCGAGGGCTTGAGGTACAGCCTTTTTTTACACAGGAGATGACCGTGCCGTTTGAAAATGAGTGAAAGAAATACACGTTTGGGTAGGTGCCAAATGATTTCGTTGTCTTTATTGTGGCTGCGTTCAGCTGTCCATGTTCGGACTGATTAATGCTTTACTGTCCAAGTGCTTTTGATTTCAGTGGGAGTTCAAGGGGAATAGGTGCTTGCATTAAGAACAGCAGAGTCTTGCCATTTGCTGCTATTAAGTGTTTTGCTATGTAAATGAATATTTGAGAACGGGTTGGTTAAGAATAAACTTGGGATTGTTTTTTGTTTTTTAGTAAGATGTGCGATAGTGAGGAGTGCTGTGGAATGCAAGCTAGGCACTGCATGTCGTGGGCCTTTGCATAACTTGCATGCCAAAAAGATTTTGCAAATCATTAAATGCAATTTTATGACTGCATTGTTAAACTTTGTTGGAGGGTCTGCTTCCAAAGTGGATTTAACAACGAGACACTTGGAGTGGCATCTTGTGAGGAGAATAGATGGTCATCGTTTCAGCCTGGGCATGGTTGGGGGAGGAAGAGAGATTGTATTTCTCCGTTCTACCGTTTTCAGTACGGGTGCAAGGAACTTCATAGCAATAAAACCTTGCTGGAGCATTTTCATGCTGTAGCTCTGTTCTGGTTTTTAAGGAGATAAATGTAGTTGACTCTTGCCCCTGCATTTAACATGGCGTCTCATGTGTCACTCTAATTTATCTCATAGTATTCTCTGTCCTGACAAGTTCTGTTACTCAGCAGGAGACTGGGCTTCTATCAATGCATTGAGGATCCCAGTTAAACCTTTCAGGTTATTGCCCATGTGCATGACTTTCAAGTTAACAAGTTACCCACAGGTGTTTATGTTTCCAGGCTCAAACTTTTGGGTTACCTCTTAAGACACCTGGTTTGTTTTTGCTGTTTCTCCTACCCAGTGGTCTAGGGGCTGTGTAACATCATTATATTGTTTTTTACTTCGTTCTTAAGATATTGCTGTAGATACTGACCTCTTTGTTCCTGTATCTGAAAACATCATGTTGTGTTGCATTTAAAAGTTTCAGCATAGGGCCCCAGTGATCAGGTAAAAACCCCACATTTTCTTCACTTAATAAAAGCTCTGATAAACAACATTGGCCTAAAATCTGCAGGTTGCTGCCACAACCCTTGGGTTTGCCAATATATTTAGTAGTTTCCCTTCTCAGAAACAAGCAGCAATTTGTACATGCTCTTCACAGTTTGACATGAAATTTTAATCATCTTAGCTACTTGGGCATTCACGTACTGCGAGAACATTACTTGTGTGCAGAACAGACCCAGTCAGAAATAGCTGACCTGGTGCCTGGTGACTACAACACATGGCCTAAAAATTGCCTCCAAATTGGACATTTTGCTGTCTTGCAAGCTTGGAAACTTCCTAGGGTTTCTCATAATTCTGTTATCCTGGTTCTTCCCCTCTCTGAGAGAGTCCTGGCAATTGCCTTATGTGTCTTGCTTGCTTGCTTGTTTTTCTCTTTCCTTTTTTGCTCTGCTGATATCTGCCCACTTGTGTGTCTTTGTCCCCAGTCCTGCCAGTAGGACTCATGGGAACTAGTTGTTGTTTTGCATTTTATATTGCTCCGGAGTTTGTAAAGCATGTTTTTGATAAATATTTATAATCATTAAAAAAAATAAAAATAAAGGTGTCCTGAACATCGCTTATGACCTTGCTTATACTGAAAAGTTATTCTCTGCAGTGGGTGAATTTATTGTTTACAGTCAGTACAACAGCTGTCCAATAAGAAGTATTTGATTGGCAGCTGATAATTTGAAGCTGGTATTTTCTTTCCTATGTCTCAAATCCTGCAAACCCCTCCGGAGAGGGAAACGCTACTGTGTAATGTCAGTCTGGTCCCTGCTGCAACAGCAGCTGCACTACCTGGTGTTCAAGGTCCCCCCTGAACAACATCTTGCTCCTCTGCAGCCCTGCTCAGCTCATCCTTGAGTTTTGGCGAAGGGGTTTGAGGCCACTGTTTGCTTCGGGAAGGATCAGGGCATTGAGAGCAGCAGCTCTGTGTGGTTCAGAAAAGCTGCAAACAGCCCTGGAAGGAAACCTCTACCTGCTGAGCCTGCTCTGTGCTGCCTCCTCTTTTCTGCCTCCTTCACTTGGACCACAGCTACCAAAGCAAAGCTCAGCAAAAACACCTGTATAGGTTGAGCTATACAGATGTGTGGTGATGGGCAGCAAGGTGCTAAATAGCTCCCTCCTGTACCCTCCCAGCCCTCTCTCTGTCCAAACCTAAATTCAAGGACTCTCTGCACGTTTTCTCTCAGCGAGAAGGTTGCCGCATATGGAAGATGCACATCCTGAAGGGGACGGACGGGCTGGGAATTCAGATAACGGGAGGCAGAGGGTCAAAGCGGTCTCCTCATAGCATCATCATCACCCGCGTGGAGGAAGGCGGCTCCGCACACAGGTGAGGTGATGGCAATTCCTTTGTGGGAACGGGTGTGATGGACCATCTGTGGCCATTGCCGTTAGCCAGACTTAGGAGACAGGCACGGGGGATTTGCCCTTTCGTTGTGGGAGGGTGGGAATGTGGCATTTTTAGGTTAAAAAGTTGCTTTTGTGATTGGTTGCTGAAGCCCCTTTTGGCATATTTAGCCCAAAATACCAACAGATCAAACACTTGCTCAATGATGGAGTGCAAAAAAGCCCTTTTGGGGCTTTTTCCCCAAGTCCCTTTTCAGAAGCCAGACCTTTCCCATGGGATCGGCAGTGGGTGAGTGTGGGCTGTGCACCCCAGGGTGCTCACTGCCAACCCTGGACCTGCTCCCTGATGCGGGGAGATGGAGCTCACTGCTGTTCCCTGGTCATCTCCATTGGGGTATGGAGAAAGTTTGAAGTGTCTCAGCCCTGCAAAGAGGGTGAAATGGCTCTGTATGTAACAATGATTTCCTGGGGGCACCTTCCTGAGCCACTTCTTTTGGCAAATAACACTGCACCGATCAATGCAAGCTTAGCATCAGCCAGGTCACCTGTTGTCCATACCTCCACGTCCCACTGTGTGCCACCAGAGCCCGGCACTGGGGGAGGACCGCCCTGCAGCTCCACGTTCCCGCTCTGTTTCCGCAGGGACGGCAGGCTGACGGCAGGCGATGAGCTCCTCATGATCAACGGGCAGTCACTGGTTGGGCTGTCCCACCAGGACGCCGTGGCCCTCCTTCGCTCAGCCGCTGGGCTGGTGCAGCTGGTGGTCGCTAGCAAGGTACGGTCCTCTCCTTGGTGATCCTGAAAGTATGCCCGAAAGAGTTTGTGCAAGTGTGGAAAGGGCATATTTTTGATAGGGAATCAAATGTGCACATTTGCTCTGATATATTTCCCGTAGCTGTGCGTTAAATTTATCAATAGCTGCCATAAATCTGTGGCAAATCAGCAGGGTATAGACCAACTTAACTTAATGATTTGCTTGTATTGTCACTGTCGTTCAGTGTGCAAATGAGTCTCTATTTATTCATGCAGACGTTACTTAAGTTTTGGCCAAAACCATTTTCTTAAAATATATGCTAAATAAGGCAGGCTGTTCTTAGCCTCTTCTGCTTCCTGCCTGCGTAGCCTCCGTAGCTCTCATCTCTTGTCGTATCTGTGTGCCTTAGGTCTCTTGATGATGGTATCTTGGCTTGAGTTCCTTATTTTGTCCTTGTTAATAGCTTGGAGCGGAGCTCTTGCAGATAAAGGAGCATAAAATTTCAAGGAAATGAGAGTGGAACTCATTTATCAGTTGGGCTCTTCGTTCTGCTTTCATCGCAGGAGAGATGGAGGGAATATGACACAGTATTTTTTCTTTTAAGAAAATCCTGCCCACCCCCGTTTTCTCTCCTCCCCGGACCACAAGCTGCTGCTTCCCTTCTTGGGTTGATGCAGGTGTTTGATGGGCAGCCGGCCGGCTCCCAAAAGTGCCTGGGGTCTCATAGAAGGACCTGCCTGCAGGTGTGCGGCCATCAGGGTGGTGGCAGGAACCTCTTGGGCCAAAGGGACCATTCATAAACCTGCATTTCCAGGTGGGACATGCTGCATCAGCTGGCCACTCTATCAGTATATTTAAAATATTTTTAGCTTCATCTTTAATTTTTTAGCTTCATGGGTTTAATGTCTGGATGCTCTTATGGTCTCCTGGGATGCTTTATGCTCATGTTTTTCAAGAAGAGGCTCTACCCCATCAAATTCAAAGTGAAGAGCCTATACCTTCTCTAATGTTTCCGTTAGTGAACTTCATTGAAGACCTTATTTAGGCTCACAGCATGGGATTAACCCCACTGGTGTTTATTCTGGAAACAACACGCTTTGACCTGAAGTAGGTACATTTTGTACTTTATTCAGACAATTGGCCTCTCAGCCAAAACACAAGGTGGTAACCTGCATAAAGTTCTCCTTAAAATTATTTGCTTGTTCATATGACGACTACATAAAAATAATCATTGCATATAAGCTTACAGCATAAAACTTCACGTTCCGGATCAGGCTTTGAATCTCTTTGGCCCATGGTCCGTGCGCTTGGACAGTTTTCATGTCCCTGGGAGGAGGACTCGGAAAGGCAAGCTGCGGGGAATCCAGCCCGTGCCGTGTTTCAGGCAGTCTCAGGAAAGGTGTAAATAGGTGAAGCGTTCCCCAGCACCTCCCTCCGGGTGTTATCTGTTGGAGCGGGAAAGCAGCCTCGCAGTTTGGCCTGGAGAGCGCTCTGAACGCAGCATTTGTTCTGAAAGCAATAAAATGAGAGTCTGTCTGGCGGCTGCTTTCAGCTGGTGCACGTGTTTGCCTCCCGGAAAATGTGCCAAAGACTGGAAACAGATCCTGAAGCTTCAGGACAGAGTTGGTACAGGATTGGTGCGTCAGATTTCACCTTGTTCTCCTGGTGTATTATTCTTACGCACGTAGATAGACAAATGTGTGAAGGGAACATGCGCAGGGAGGGAGCAGGAGCACGGAGTGTGATTTGGGATGCAATGAAATGAGTAATGAGGCCTGTAAACTCTTGAGTCTGCTTGCAGTGACATTTAATAAACCCAAAGTGGGGAGGAGCAGGCTGCTGGGGAAGCCTTTATTTTAAATTCTCCTTTATGAAATCTAAATGTTTTAGACATGTATTGGCCTGTGTTTACTATATACGCACTTTAAAACCAGGTCTGCTTTTTATAACATTAAAGTTAGAGCACATGGAAGTGTGTAACAAGGGGAGGATTACCGGGGAGCTCTCACTGGGCAGGTGAAATGGAACAGTTTCACCGTGACTTTGGTGGTTTTCTGCATGTGATGTAACATATTTTGTTGTCTCTTGGGTAGGAATCTGCTGAAGGGGATTTTCTGAAGTACCCATCTACCAGTTTGCCGGACTTGCTTAGCACTTGCTCAGTCCAAGACTCTGTCTCTTGCACTGACAATAAGGAAAACGAAGAGCCAGAAGAAGAAGATGTGAAGGGAGTGAATGTGTCTCCTGAAACACTGGTCACTGTAAGTGTGGCTTTGGTGTGACGTTTTTACTCTCTCCCTTGACGCCCGTTTGCATCAATCACGTTCTCCTGCAGCCCGAAATGGAGCAGGTCCTTGGGATGGGGCAATCCCACCCAGCCTGCCTTTGCATGAGAGATGTGTGAGAAGCTGAAATGGGGATGTCATCTACCGCAGCGTCTGCCATCTCTGCTACTGCGCTGCAGCAAAGCAGCAGCACGGGGAGCAGGAGCTCTCGTGCCCTCCAAGCTATGCAGCAATCATGTTTTGTGTTTTTTCTCTCTGCCATTGGATTGTTTTCCAGCCACTTCCACTGCTTTTGTTGGATCTGATGCAAAGTCTCTCACAGTGCTTACACAGTAACACGCTCTTCTTCCCCCTCCTTTTGTAACTAAACTTCTTTAACAGTTTGTGATCCAAGTCTTCAAGTTTTTATTGTTCTGTTGAAGCCAACAGACATTTTTGGGGGGAGGGATATGAATTTCTGGCTGTGAACCGTAACTGAAGTTCTGCTGAATAAATGTTCCCAGTTGATAATCTCACTTGCATTCCCTTCAGGGCTGCATTAAGCAGAGATTAAGTGGATTATTGTTATTTACTTGTAATGCAGCAGCTCTCTGAAACTTCATCAGTGTCCTGGTCCTCTGTTGTATTCTACAGACAAAGAATAAAATTATGTTTGCTACTCTAAAGAGCTTACAGGCTGGTTTTCCAGCAAGGGAAAGCAGGTGGATTCACTTCAAGCTTTTATCTTTTATTTTTTCTTCTTGTCTTTTTTCTCCTCTCTTTTCTGTGGCAATTATAATAAATCTCTTAAACCTTTGGACTGCTCAGATGTGGTACTAGTTTGATGATTTGGTTGGATTTTGTATTCTTATACTTTACCTTTTCTGAGCAAAAGACTGCTCCCTGAGATGACTCTCGCACTGCCGTCTAGCTGATGCTGGTATTCGCTCCATACCTGCCTGTTAGCTCCGACTGTGTTTGAGTCCATGCTTGTAACAGTCTGCACTCTCACACATCTCTTTACTGTCACAAGTTTTGTTATTTCTGCACTGCCTTCTCTTCTGTGTGCCAGGGCGCCTTTTTGTGGGGAGGAAGGGAAAAACAAATAAATCGGGGATGCTTAGCATGCTGATGACGGTGTAGTGTTTGTATGCTAACTTTAGTGGGCACCTGAGCGTTCTGTTGGCTATCAAAATACTTTAAATTCTTCTATATATCATGTTTCAAATTCTGGTAATTTTTTGTAAGGCCGTGGCTCAGCAACACTTAAACATAAAAATCAATTGTGTCAAAACTTAATTATGCATGGCTTCAGGGTGCAGCTCCCCAGCATTCCAGTGGCTCTTTCAGCACACGCTAGGAGTTATTTGTCACTGGATTAGCTCCTGACTTTCCAGCAAGGCTCTGCCTGGTTTTCAGCAATGGCTTTTTATTTTAATCAGGTGTTTCCTTTCCAGATTAACATAATGCTAGCGAAAACTCAAGGTAGCTGAGGTGCACACCACTGTGAAGACCCAGCCACACAAGCCTGCCCAGAGCCTTTCAGCACAGACCTGAGTTTGGAGCCTGCCCTGTTGTCCATCCCAGTGCTGCCGATGCAGCTAGCAGCAGTGATAGCCTGATGGAGAGCCAGTTTGATTTGGCTGCCTATCTCGCCCCTGATGGCAATAGCTCTGTGCTTTCGTAATGCATCACTGGGGGATGGAGGGGAGATTACAGAAATCAGAGTACAATAAACGCGTTAGAAGAATAGCAGGAAGATTTTTATTTTTTTCTTCTTTTCTCTGTTCCCATTAATTTTTCTTTTTGGAGGAGGTGTAATTCAGAGGGATGTAATACGTTGTGGGTGACTCTCAAGACCTCTTATTTTTTTGCTTAAGCTGCACATGAAATCCTTCCTCTTCTAACCCAAATTGCAGGGTATCTTTGCATTCCCCATGTAATTGCTATCTCAGCCTCGGGAGTGCAGACAGGGCTCTCTGCAGTGGGGGTGGGCACTCTGTACAGTGTAGACCCCTCGGCTCTACCCACAGCCTAATCTGTCCTCCTCAGATCAGGGCAGCCTACCAAGATTGCTGAGCCAGGCTGTGCAATCCTGTGTGCCACCAGGCAGGATGTAGGAAGGTAAATGTATGGAAAAGATAAACTTCCCACATGGCTTCTTTCTGCCTGGTGAGATGGGGGGCATTTTTCATAGCAAAGCTTAGAAGTTGATTTCAAGGTCAGTATGAACATGAAGCATCACATGAGTTTATTTTTTTAAATATATGTATAGTCATATAGATTATTGCAAAATTGCTTTGGGAATTACTGTTCTTTGCTGCTAGCGCTGTCTTGATGATACTCACGTGTCTTCTCGTTTTCTCATATATATTCCGTTATATTTATACTATAGATAAGGGATGACAGTGTGACTGATGATTAAAGCAGGAACTAAGCTGGACCATTTTTAATCAGAGCAAATATAATTGTTTTGGACTTCCCAGGTGGGTGGTACTCAAGGTCTGGACCGGAAGACTAAGACAGCGGTCTTAATTTCAGCATCAGACCTGTTAGATTTGAAACCAATTCTCAACCCAGCTCTGGCCAGGAGTTATCTTTCTCACCAGCAGTTTCTCACCTCTGATGAGGTTAATGAATTTGCTTGTTTACTGTGCAGGGCTTTGTAGATACTTATAGGGATGCTGTTGGGTGCTCTGGGTGGTTAGGTAACCACAAGTAATTCAGAGTGATTTATCATCAGTTGACACTTCACTGTCCTTTTTCTGACCAGTGTAGAAGATTCTAGAAAACTTGCAGGAACTCTTAGTGTTGTCTAAGGTCTTCTTTCATTAACTTCGCTATGAATATAGTTCAGTGCTGAGTATTCAGAACCATGATGTATAGACTTCATGGACTTGCTGTTAATGCCTTAGCACCTGATTGCTTAAAGGCTGAACCAGGCACAGTCCTTAGGTGCAGATGGATCAATGTTATCTCCAGGAGCTCTGCAGAGCGCTCCTGAAAGAGGCAGGCCCTCTTGCAGCTCACATGGGCATAGTGAGGTGTTCAGTGAAGTCATGTTTGAATTCAAAGGGACATTGCCAGGCAGAAAAAATAATTGCTTAGAACTAAGGTATATATTCCAATCCTTGTAGATACTCAGAACTCGGTGGGACCTGGCCCTTAGCAACCTGATTGATCTAAGTTGTCTTTGCTTTGAGGTGGGGGCTGGACCAGGGACCCACAATAATCTGTTCCAACCTGGCTTGCTCTACAATTCTGTGAAAAATTAAAAAAAAAAAAAAAATTTTTTTTTTTTAAATCTCTTTTCTAGGGGCTGGGTGTTAAAAATTTTCCCTGGGAGCAAGTTCTTTAAAACTCTTAAGTTCTGCCTCAGTGTTTCCAGCCAGGGAAATATAATCTGACCTAATCAGCTTCCTTCCCCAGGACACAGAGGAGAGGTTAGTGACACTTGAAAACTGTAATTTAAGATAAATATAATTTCTAAGTCTTACTTGAAAGTCCACTTGATGTGTTTCATTAATAAAAATTTCATAATACAATTTTATTGGAGCTCTGTTTTTACACAGTCTCCTTATGTAAAGCCTTGTTTAACATGAAGCATCCCTTAAAGTTCAAACTTTAATAAAACTTGTGCCACCAGACAGAAAAAGGATTGCATTAATATCCTTAAAGTGCATTTCTTTTAGAGCTAGTTTTAGAGCCAAAATGTTCCTTAACTTCAGATGCGAAATATTGGGGCACAGGGTCGTGTTGCGTTAAATTGTCCTGAGGCACTTTGAGGATTTTAAACTCCCCCCCCCCCAAATCCATATTTTGCCTTGCGTGGTTGACGTTGCTCTTTTAAAATGTCATTATTTATGTCCAAGTGAAATAGGATGATATGATAGTATTTGGCCTTGATGATTTATTTTTAATTATAATTCACTTTCCTTAGTATTTCTGTTGCTTGAAATTGAATCTGTCACTGTATTGCTGACTGGCAGAGCAACCCAGGAAATGAACTCTAAAGAGAAAGCAGGTCTGCCAAGAATTTGCAAAGTGTCTGATAAATTTGGGGTCCCCAGACAGAGGCATGTACCATTCTTAGTGGCTTTAAAGTTTTTTGCCTTTGTTTCTTCTGGTGCTATGTTGTTCAATATATGATGATCTGAGTACTTCAAGTGTTCAGCTTTGGTGACCAGCTTCATCTTAATGGGCTGATATTCCAAAAAGGTACTAAATACAAGAAAAGGGTGTCTGTCTCAGCAGGTCTGGATCTGTAGTTGCTGGAGGCAGGGAGGAAAGCCTGGGGACCGTTTCTCTATACTTTGCTTAATCTTGTGCTCTCCCTTGGGTATCTGCTGCTCGTGATGCTGGAGGCAGGACCCTGAGCCAAGTCTGTTCCGTGCAGAATAGAATTATACAAAAGAGCAATTTCTTATTTGGGAAAGAAGGTCATCACTATCCCTACCTCTTGCAGGGGGAGCTGGGAAGGGGAGCGATTTGCCTCCCTGTGCCCAAGTCGTCCACGTAGGCAAGCCCCGGGGAAACAACCTCTGGGAGTAGCCCTGGCTGCATGACCCTCTGCTGTAGGATGACGAAACCCTTTTGCTCATGTTTACTCATTTCGCGTTGACCTGACGTGCTTGATATGCACCTTCATGCAAGCTGTAGTTGCATTGCATGTGGAGATGGCCATGACCCACCAAGGTCTTGATCCTCCTACAAGTAACAGAAACAGGATGTGTCTGGTTAAAGGTTTCTTGCATTAGTTGGGTTTCCTTATCCCTGCCAAAACCTACTTGTGTTTTTTCAAGGCATGCAGCTGAAAGTGGATAAATAAACCTGTTCTGTCAATATGTTTACCTCCCTCTCCATTTTTATATTTTATCTGAGCCATAGGACTGCTTCGTTATTTTCTGTTGTGAGCCCTTCTGTCTTACCAGGGAATCCATATGTAATTATGTAGCCATGCAAGCATAATAAGGAAGAGGATAACAATTGCTGTAAGTTTGAAAACACTCTTGGGGTCAAAAGTTCTTCTGGAAACACTGGGAGAGATTTTCAG